CTTCAGCAACACTCCCAACGGAACTTGTTTCAATCAAAATGTATCTTATCCTCAACAAACAAATATTTTAGACATATAAGACATAAGACATAGCCTATTTTATTTACACAAAACGTTCTTTATAAAGTACATTTCATACATAAGAACAGGTGTTTCGTCATAGTGATGTATTTTATAGTAAATCTAGCTGACCCGGCGAACTTCGTATCGCCTAAGTTATAGGTTTCCCCTAAGACAGACCGATGGAAAGAAAGTACCGTTACGTTTAATTTTCAAGATGATCTCGTTCGCATTGCTCAATCACGTCCTGGTTGAAGTTCGTTCGCTACGCTCACTCACCTTTAGGTTGGAGCTCGTTCGCTACGCTCACTCACCTTTAGGTTGGAGCTCGTTCGCTGCGCTCACTTGCCTTCAGGTTAGCTCGTTTGCTACGCTCACTCGCCTCCAGGTTGAAGTTCGTTCGCTACGCTCACTCACCTTTTGGTTGCAAATTAGCTGTTGTCATAAATGTAAAAGAAATAATAGTGCTGCACCCTGTTGGTAATCCTTGTAACTTTAATGCTATTGAACATCATAGAACAGAACCAACTTGTTTAATTGAAACAGCTGTTAAGATTCATTAATTCCATTTCTCATAAGGTTAACATGGGAAACTCCAGAGCCACTGGGGCGGAGCCCTTTTAAGAATTTCGAAACGGGAAATAGTTTACGTCCGATTCGCATACCTACAGAATTTACACACCAAATTTCATAACGATCGGTGAAGTCGTTCCGGAGGAGTTTGCAGACAAACACTGTGACACGAGAATTTTATATATTAGATTAATAGTTAAAATAATTAAAATAAACTCATGTAGGATATCAGAGAATTTTTATCTACATTATAGGGTTCTCCAAAAATTCTTCAAGTGAATAGTAGGCTTTCTCAATTATTTTATCTTTTATTTTATCTTTGAATTGAGTAGCATTTAAATTTTTATGATACAGGGGTAATTCATTGTAAAATCTAAGTCCCATATATTGAGGGCTGTTCCTTAAAGTCGTCAATTTGTGATAATTATGTGTAAATTTGACTACATCTGACAAATTTTCCTTAGTGTTATGTATCCAATTTAGAATTTCATTTATGTATAATCCAAAAATGGTGTGAATTCTAAGATTTTTAAACAGGTTTTTACATGATTTTCTCCTTCTTGATTTGGTTAATATTCTATAGGGGTGTGCGATGCATCGAAAATGCATCGAAATTTCAATTCGATTCGATTCGATGCATCGAATCGCGATTCGATTCAGTGGTGGTCAAAAAACGATTCGATTCACGAGGGAGTCAGTATCCATATACGAAAAACGCCTGCAGAAAGTCAATGCAATACCCGCAATACAGGAGCGCGTTGCTGTTGCGTTTCCTTTACGAAGGCGTTCTTATTTAATACATTCTTTGCATTAAATATAGCTTTAATTGTTTTATATTTTTTTGTTTTGACATTGCAAATGATTAGAGGTTTTGTTTTTTGTCTTGATGTAAGCAGTGTGTGAAATATTTTACTACTGTGAACCTAGCCAAAACAAGGTAGGTTACTCCAAAATCATTTTAAAAATAAGTCTGAAAAATTGTTACTTAATACTTAACTAGTAAGATCAATGTTATAGACTGATACATTTGGTATTTTTGTTAGGTGTCTGTCGGTCCCCGTCCCCGAATTTTTGTTGGGGCAAAAGAAAAAAAAGAATAATTTATTTCCAAAGAAACACTCTTATATTATTATATCTATTACAGAGGAATTAAAATGTTCAAATGAGAATTAAAAATTAAGTTGGCTCACGACCTTTAAGAATAAAGACACAACAGAGCAATTGCCGCACTGCCACTAGCCAGAGCCAGGTCTAGTCGTCTACTGATAAGAGTAACAAGACAAAAGCCGTGACGCAACACTAACAGTGCAAAGAAAACAAAGTCAAAAGAATAGAAAGACTATTTATCCAGACATACTAGTATAATCATTTATTGTTCATTCAATACCTAATTAAAAATATATTTTAGTATTTTACATAATAAATTATAAACAAAAGAAATATCTGATATAGTGAACAGATCTGTATCTTGGTTAAATAGGGTTAAAAAAATATATTTCTAAGATCCAATACAATATTTACAACTCACAAATTACATTGAATTAATTTCTTTGAAAATAATCTCTAACAGTTTTGTGTTTTTGAATAAAGAAATATATTTCTTTGTCTCTACTTCCTTGTTTCATCACTTGCATTTTGTCAGCAATTGAAGCAACTGGGTAGCAACCGGGCGGTGTAAGAGGGGAGGGGGAGGGTCTATGACCTTGAATTCACACATCGTTGCCCGGGCCTGGCTGGTGAGACTGATTCATTGTTTTTGTTGACATACTACTACCCTTCCAGGGAGAAAAAGGCCCTGCTGTTCCAAAAACATTGAGGGTAGTTTAAAAACATTGACCTGTGTTGCCAAGGGCACTAGAAGATAGCATTTAACTTTCTTGTCTCTTGATTTAATATTATTTTAATCTTCTATATATTATTTAAGAGTTACTTTTCGGGTACCTAATTAGTTGTGATATTGTTTAGCTTCATTTTATGGATTTTTAATTCTTTTCATTCATTAGCTATCAAAATCAGTTGTTTTAGGATTTTAATCTCTTGCAGTACCGGTAGGTCTAAACTACTGTATGACATGATATGCATTTTTTAGTCCTTATTAATTATACCATAAACAATGTTTGTATGTTATTTACTGTTTTTGAGTTTTATAGGAAATTAGTTTACACAATATCTTTTCTTCAATGAGTTCTCCACTTGACATGTTGCTTCTAGCCTATTACTATTTTAGGCCCTATAAAAATAATGCCTATGTAAAGCTGTAGGCCTACTGATGCCAATAATAATTCTTTATTTATGATGATGTAACAAATAATGTAAGTGTGAGGTTATTATACTAAGGAGGTTAGGAGGCAGGGAATGAATGATACATGTTGCATGGTGGAAACATATTATTTTTATTTTCTTCTTGCTTGCAGTCCTGAAGCCGGTCCACAGGCCCTAAACTTGTGATATGTAAATTTATTTCTTAATGGTCTTTTTATATTAAGTTCCATTCAAATTTGTTGTAATTTAGCTACCGGTACCTATTTAGTTATTTAAACAGTTATTAAAATGAGAATGAATGTCTTGATAAAAAAAAATATTTTCTTCTTTCTTGCAGTTGAGCCAATTCCAAGTAAAAATTATGAAATAGGCAAGTAAAGCAGCTCACTGGTATTTCCAGCAGTTATTCTAATACATATGATTGAAAATAAATATTTTTTCACCTAAAATTCATATGTAAGTATGAATAGGCCTAATACCACATCAACAAAAATTTGTATTACACAAATGTAATGAATTTTAATTATTGTTAATCCACTCAATTGACAATTATGAATAGAAAAATACCGTATTGCTTCGAATCGAGTTGCATCGAATCGAATCGAAAATCTTTTGAATCGAATCGTTGCTTCGAATCGAAAATTTTTTGCTGCTTCGCACACCCCTAATATTCTAATAATTTTTTTCTGTAAAATTAGTAGGGATTTGACTTCTGTTGACACTCCCCACAGAATGATACCTCAAGATGGATTCAACGTATCCATAGTAAACTGTGATACATGTATCCTGGGGTACACAGTTTATCAGGTGAAAGAAAGCAAAAGAAATAGATCTTAGTTTGCCTTTCATCTTATCTATGTGATTCTTCCAATTAATATGAGTATCAAGCAATACACCCAAAAATCTATGAGATACTACTAAATTTGGAATTTTATCATGAATTACATTGTTTTTTAAAGAAAATTTAATTATATGAGTTTTGTCAATATTCAGCTTTAAACCATTATCTGTAAACCAATTTTTCATACAATCCAAAGTGTTTTCTATTGATACAATTAAGTTATTTACGTTTATTTTTTAAGTTATTTTTTGAATAAATAAATCAACAAATATTTTTTTTTATTTCAATATTTCTTATACATTAGCATAGTTTTTTTCTAATTAGCTTAGTTTGAGATTAAGGTTACATTAAATTTATTTATATTTTTCATTATATTTATTGGTGCTTACGTATGGCTTTATATCAGTTTTATTTCCTAATAGGTAAGCCAATGTGTATTTCATATTCATATGAAAAAAGGAGTGAGTTCAAGTTTTATTTTAGTTTATAGCGAATTTCTCTATAGGGAAGTAGCTATTACCTTAGGTGGCACGGTAAGACCTAGGCCCGGGACCGATTTACTTTTTAATTTTTATGTCCCCAGAGGTCAAAAACACCATTCGCTCAATTTTTTATATATTTGTGTATATATATTTATATATGTGTGTGTCTGTGGACGCGATAACTTGAGTAATTTTGTCCGATTTTGATGAAATTTGGTTTAAAGGTGTAAGGCAGGATAAACTTAAATGAGTTTGCGAACCAGCATGTTTGGAAGATGAGAACGGGGTTTTATGGAGTAAAAATTAGTTTTTCTAATTTTTGACCCTCAAAACACAAAATTTACCATTTTCTCTAAAGACCTTTTTAAAAAGCTTAAAAACAAATAATTTAGTATCAATTGATAACGGAGAAAATTCAAAAAGTTTTAAATTTGAAATTCCCATGTTATTCTTATTGAGAATATTGTATAACAATGTAGTTTGCTTGTTTATAGATATATTTTGATACTTTGCACTTTTATATTTGATACTTGGCAAATTTATTTATTTTATACTAACCTATTAATATTTTACAAAAAAAAACACACTTTATTAGTTCCTTGAAGCAGCAAACCTAGGTACTCGTTAAACTTAATGTTATTTAAATAGATTTAATTGAAAATCAATTCAGGCAAATGGAAATTTGCTTGGTCGGCAGGTTTGCTGCGTTGGGGGTATTATGAATTCAGTGAGTAAATGAAAGAAAATTGAAGAATATTGATTGATGTAAAACTGGTATGCACCTCTTTCTCAGCCAACATCTCACGGAAAGACTTGATACGGATCTCCAGAGGCACGATGGCTCGCTCACGTGCTGCCCTCACCTCAGCCTCCATGGCTGCCTCTTTACCAATGTCTATCTGTTTCTTTTCTTCCTTTGGCTCAGTAGAGGCTGATATGTTTAAGTCCACTGCATCAACATAAAAGACCATTATTTTTTTGGAGCTAGATACACACATGATTAAACTCATAATACTAATAATTAATAATATACTATACAAAAAAATCCAGGCTTCTGGTTACAAAAATTGTTTATCAAAGGAAAAATAAATTCTTATTCTTGCAAAATTCTTAATACATTCCTAAATTTTTATCTGGGTTTGTGTTTATTTTATAGGAGGTATTTAAGGTATCAGTAATCAGATAACAAATATATTTTGTGAGGTTGGAGTGTGTTGCTTGCTAGTAGAGTGGTTAGCATTTTAGAATTTTAGGGAAGGACTGGTATGATCCACAAAAGCATATCCAAAAAAAATTGAAGAGTTTCTGGGATTGGAACACTTTCCTTTAAAAGCGATCACGCTACTTTAAAACAAAACGACAGGGTACTCACCCTTAGTGTTGTCCATTTTCTGTTTCTTGGCGGCTGAGGCCTCTGTGTCGCTAGAGTTTTCCCGCTTGGTCGCTGCTGGTGTATCGGGGGCCTGAGCAGAGTCTGGGGGACTAGCTACCATCTTGTCTACATCCACACGTCCCACCAGCTCCTCCGGCCTCTCCCACACCGAAGTGCGAGATGACGGATTGTAGAAGAACACTCTGCCATCACCCGTCCACACCACGCACCTACATCAAGTGTACATAATGAGTAGGGCTTACCAACCATCAGGCAAGTATTAATTACAAACCAGCTGTGTACAGTGGCCATGCTATTCAATATTGGACCAACAAGTTTTAAAAAGATACAAAATATTGTAAAGTGTATTCCTTCTCTGTCCAGACAACAAATGAAACAGATTTAAGCAAACCCATTATATCTGATCTCTTGACGACCGCCTCCTTGGAGTAATCGACAGCAACCAACAATTTATGGGCGTTCATTATTACATCTTACAGCAACAAAAGTGCTAGCAGGATTCACTTGCGTTTCCTTTATAAATATACGAATAGTTAAGTTTTGAGTACCTACTCAAATTTCACATGTTACTCAAATAGTAGAAGTGTGCTAGCACAAGGTTTTTGATTAAGCCAAGTTTTGGGGGGAAATTCATGGTCTTACTACTTACCCGAGTCATGAGGGATCCTAGGGGATCTTTTTGAGGGATCCTACTGTGGTGACTATTTACAAAGGACCATAGCATTGGTTATTATGGTCAATAAATCTTGAGGGGGAAATTACTTACCTAGTTTCTAAAAAACCAAAAACAACTGAAGTAAAAATAAAAAAAATATTGACAAAATTCAACATCTGTCACAAAAAAAAAACCAAGTTTTGTACAGTATCTAGACCTAAAAAAGAGTCCTTGAGGAGAAAAGAAAATGTTTAGAGGAACAAGCGTGAGAGGCTACTCACCAAGGAGTCCCTGGCACAGGAGTACTAGAAACAGGCTTAGATTTATCTTGTGCTTTTTGCATTTCCTTTGCTTTCTCTTCTTCATCGTCTTTTTTCTTTTTCACCTGTTCTTCTTGAGCACTGATATCTGCCTCCTTTTTGTTTTTCTCTGCTAGTTCCAATTTCTTTTTCTCTACCTCTTCATCACTGAAAGTTAATAATATTTAAAATTGAAATAGCATAGTAATAATAAAGAGATACAGTAAATTCTTAAGTAAACGGATTTTTAAAGAAAAAAAATGTTTAATTAAAAGTTGTTGTTAAAGTTGTGCAACAATTAACTTACCTGATATTTGTCTATTGAAAATTACCATTACTAAGCCAAAAGAAAGCACTGTTTTTATGATCTGAGTAATCTAAGGACACAGCACAATTATACTTAAGTGGTGGCTCCTTATGAAGAGGACCGTTGATAAAAAATTACTATTTTAATAATTCAAACCTAATATGATTTTGAATAAATGTGGTTACTCAAATGTATTTGTTCATGCTTGACCCTGGAACTACCTATTAGATATTCCAAATCGCCAATGTATTTTGCCGCAGTCTGTATAGATCATTTAAAAAATAGTAGTTTTCATTACTAGGAGCAAAATTAGGCTCTTTTTGGTACCCAATCGCGCCTTGCTTGGAAATATGGTTAAGTAAAGTACCAAAAAGACACTTTTGCTCCGTGTGATGAATACAGTCTAACCTTGATATAAGGAACCTTGATATAACAAATTCCTTGATATAACGAATTTTTTTTAATCCCCTAGAACTCTCCATAAGACACAATGTATATTTTACCTCTACATAACGAACAAACCATAACAACGACCTTGATTTAACAAACCTTTCGTGATTTCGGCTAAAATAAGACACCTCAATATAACAAATTCTTTATTGTCAGAACCTCTACATTGCGAATTTAACCTCTGCATAACAAATTGTCTTTTCCTCGATATAACAAATCCCCCACCCCTTAATTTTTGAAAAATCTGTTTCTTTATCAAATGAAATGGAAAGGTGACGTCATCGCTTGCGCTAACATTCGTCTGCTCCGTTTTATCACATCTCTGTCTGCTGTCGCTGCGCGTGCTATGTTGCAACTGAGAACTGATTTCATTCACTGAGGACTGATGACGACGTAATGTTTAGTACAGGGTGTATACTATTTTATTAAAGTGAAATTCCAGGTTTTTCCATGGTTTTTTTAAGTTTTTCCAGGTTCCCGCGTATTTGTTTGGTTCCACTTAAACTATAATAAATTTAAGACTTGCAGCTTAAGTATACAATATAAACTTACATCAAATTTGCGGTCAAATCTGAAACATCAAATTTGAAACGTCATCGTCGTTGTCCACGATCTCGGCAAAATAATGAATATTTCCCGTGGCAGTGTAAACATCATGGTTAATCTCGCGGTCACGGAAACGTCATCGTCGTTTCCCGCGGTCACGGAAACGTCATCGTCGTCAGCCGCAATCACGGCAAAATCATGAGCATATCACGCGGCCGTGTAGAAATCATCATCTTCGTCTTTTGCGGTCACGGCAAATCATGAAAATCATCCGCGGCCGTGTGGACATCATCATTGCCTCTCGCAGTTATGGAAACGTCATCGCCGTCGTCCGCAATCTCGGCAAAATCATGAATATTTCCCGCGGCAGTGTATACATCATCGTTGATACCGCGGTCACGTAAACGTCATCGTCGTCTCCCGAGGTCACGGAAACGTCATCGTCGTCTCCTGCGGTAACGGAAACGTCATCGTCGTCTCCCGCGGTCACGGAAACGTCATCGTCGTCGGCCGCTATCGCGGCAAAATCATGAGCATTTTACGCGGCCGTGTAGAAATTATCATCGTCATCTTTCGCAGTCACGGCAAATCATGAAAATCTTCCACGGCCGTGTAGACATCATCATTGACTCCAGTGGTTAGGGAAACGTAATCGTCGAAGTACGCGATCGCGGTAAAATCATGAATATTTACCGCAGCCATGTTAACATCATCGTCGTCTCCCGCGGTCACGGAAACGTCATCGTTGTCGTCCGCAATCGCGGCAAATCATGAAAATTTCCGGCGGACGTGTAGATGTCATTGTTGTATCCTGCGATCACTGAAACATCATCGTTGTCTCCCGCGGTCACGAAAACGTCATCGTCGTCGCCCGCAATAGCGGCAAGACGCATTTTACGACTACAATCTTCTACCGGGGCTAAAATAAAAATCCCGGAATCGGTCCAAAAATCCCGGCTTTTTTAGGTCCCTTCAAATTCAAGGTTATTTCCCGGTTCTCCCGGTTTTCCCGGTTGGTATACACCCTGTAGTAAGCTGTGATTGGGCGATAAGTAACCATGGTGAATTGTACAATTTTTGGATAAAGAGAAACCTAAGAAAGGATATAAAAAAAAGAGCAAAGAGAAAGAATAGCAACATCGTTATTTTAACATTCCTTTTACGAGTGTTTTTATTATCTTTAATGCCTATGATTATACACTTTTATGACTTATCTAATAATTTATTGTTTTCAATACGATTTGTTTCAACTAGCAACACCAATGCTATAGATAATGATTATTATTGACATTCCTCTGATGTGATAAATCAGTACTGTACTGTAAGTAGCCTACCGGCCTATCACGAGCAGTATCTTACAAAACTTTCTACTGTTTTTGTTCTTTACATGGTTTAAGACTACGCAATTCAGTGTTTGGCTAGGGTTTAGGAGGGTTAGAACAAGCTGTGATTTTAAACTTACAGTTATTAACCTGTACCAAGGTCAATGCCATTTTCATGATTGCGCAATATTCAAGATCCCTCCCCTTTATTATGCCGGATAATTTAGGTTCTACTGTACAATGTGAACACTGTACTGTAAAGTATTGTAGCCTATGCTACTTTAATTGTGTTTTAATGAGGTCAAATCCCGACCTATGTTGACCGACGCTGGTTCTGAACCTCGACTTAGCGAAATTTCTGCAAACCTAACCTCTATATAATGAACCTCTTTTTAACGAAATCCTTGATATAACGAATATTCAGTTCGGTCCCTTCAGATTCGTTATACTGAGGTTGGACTGTATTTTCATCATACTGTGGAAATAGCCTTCTAATTGTTACAACATTAGACCTTGAGGTTATACAAAGTCACCATCAACGTTTACATTTCTGTTGTTTACAAACACAACTTTACACATTGTATGATTAGTAGCGTTTTCATAATGCACTGATAAAATTTTCAAGTTGGCGAACCAAAAAATTTACCATATCTTTTTTCTGTTCCCTATTTGAAGTCACCAGAAACTATGATTTTGCTAACGATTTAGAGAACTAAAAACGGCTGCTTTCCAGACAGTACGAAGGAAATTTCACTTTTTCATTTTGATGTCCCCAGAGGCCAAAAACACTATTCGTTCAAAATTTATATATATATATCTATATACAGGGTGTCCCGGAACTCTCTACCAATATTATAGGGCATTGCCCCTAGGTAAGAAACATACCTAAATATCATATTTAAATTGTCCGGAAGTCCTTAGTTACTCACACAGCCGGCATTTAGTTTTTTTCATTTATTAATTGTTTTCTAAAGAATGGTTAAACGTATAAAATGGAAACTTTGCACAAACATTTATGACACCTAGACAAAGCTACCAAAACATTATGACGATATTTCAAATTGATAAAACAAAATGGCGGCCATTTAAAATTTTGTTTCCTTAATTAACTCAAAAACCGTTAATTTTAAAAAAAGGCTACTTAATTTTTTATTTTTAAAGCAAAATATCCAAACCAACAAAATAAGACTTTTTTCCGCCATGTCCTATATTATCGGCAACATTCCTTTGCCCGCTTTCTAACTATTTTTAAAAACATGCAAACTGTTTACATGTCAAAACCAAACAAAACAGCTGGGATTTATTTTTGATGGGAAAACAAATGTATTGACACCTGTTTCAGAATGTAATAGCATTCAAATCAATCACAATGTTATCCTTATGGAAGGAACTTTGAGGGCAGCCAACGCCCTTAAAAAGATATATTTTGAAAATCTAAAGCCAGTGACGATGTGTTTTACCTTAAAGTGCGAGCGTCGCTCACAGCGACTATTCGTATTTCGTATAGTACGCATTGTTGCCATGGATGCATTGGCTGGTTAATGCGTCAGTATGTTCCAAAAGCTTCAAATTATCGATCGCCGGTTCATTTCGCTCTTTAACTGTCGCTAGCAGTCAGCTGTTTACATGTCAATTCTTTGTTTCTTTGTGCGCAGTGACGCTTTGAGATTACGTTACGTTTTACCTTTGCGCTGTTTGTTTTGAAACAAAGTTATTTGTGTATAAAGTTTTGTTTTCTAGTTAGTTTGTGTTCTGTATAAACGTTTGAATACGCTGCACTTTGATTTTGGTGCGGCAAAACGTCGGTGTTGAAAACTTTGGTCTGAAATTTTAAATTTATTTTTATTTTTGTATATTTTTATGTGCAATGAACTGTGTATGATTGTGATATGACAAGGACTGCGTTCTTGTGATTTCAATAAGGTGAGTGATGCCCAAAAAAAATTATCATACTGAAGTATTGACCTCACCTAATATACCATGTTGTTTAGGAATAAAAATATGTATATACTAGCGGAAAACCCGTGCTTCGCTACGGAAACTTTCGAATTGGTTGAAATGTTTATTAAATTAGTGTTCAATTGCCAGATTATGGTAAAATAAAACACATTAAACAAACAATAAATTATTTTAATTTTTATATTTCATTTTATGATAATGATTAAAACTGCAGTTAACAGTTCGTTATTCGTACTATTTTTGATTATTTACAGAATATCTTAGTATATCTTAGTAATCTAGTATATCTTATAGTGATGGGCGGATCCAAGAAAATGTCGCTACCCGATCCGGATCTTGAAAAATTTGTATCCGGATCTTCGATCCAGATACACACTGTCATAAGGGCGGGTAAAAAAAAAATGTAATTAACAGAATTCCTTCCAATTTAAATCATACTGTTTAAAATTAAATTGGTAATGTTTAAAGGTTAGTATATCTTATATATAGAGTAATCTCCAGTTGAGCCCATAATCCCTCATTTTTTGGGGACACTAACAATTTAAAAAACCATAAAATTCACTAAGTTTGCACGACCACCAAAAGGGTATCTGTGTATATTTTACTATAGTTCGATCTTGAGTATGATATATCGTGGTTTTTGCATGCAGCATCCAATTTATTCATGCCTGGATCACCTCTTGTTCATCTCTTCCTTATATTCGTTCCAGGTCCACAGTACTGATAGCAGGGTATGTGAAGTTCTACAAGTAAAATACCCCGTGTCTGTGTACAAGAAGTCTATACTGTGTTCTAACTTTGAAAAATATTAGATGGGGGAGTCTTGACTTTTTATTCAGTCTGTATATACAGAGATAATCTTCTTGTACACAGACACAGGGTATTTTATAGTGATGGACAAGACCCAAGACTTCGAGATTTTTTTATCACGAAGCATCGGGCGGGAAATCGGTCTCTAACATGGATACAGACAGCTTTGTGTTACGAAAAAAATCGGGGTTGTACAGTGATACAGACAGCTTTGTGTTAGTAAACAAATTGGGGTTGTACAGTGATACAGACTCCTTCGTGTTAGTAAAAAAATCGGGGTTGTACAGTGATACAGACTCCTTTGTGTTAGTAAACAAATCGGGGTTGTACAGTGATACAGACTCCTTTGTGTTAGTAAACAAATCGGGGTTGTACAGTGATACAGACTCTTTCGTGTTAGTAAAAAAATCGGGGTTGTACAGTGATACAGACTCCTTTGTGTTAGTAAACAAATCAGGGGGAAATCGGTCTCTTACATGGATACAGCCAGCTTTGTGTTAGGAAAAAATCGGGAAAAAATTTGAAAAAATCGGATCTATCAAAACCAGATCCAGCCCAAGATCCAGAATTTTTTTGGATCCGATTGGGTGCCGGTTCTAGCTCAGATCCGGCGGATCCGGTAGTCCGATATCCGGATCCGACCATCACTAATATCTTAGTTAGCACGATAACTCGAGCAAAAAAGATCCAATTTCGATGAAATTTTTTTATAAACGTGTAAACCTACGTTTATTCGAACGAGTTCGCGAACCAGCATGATCGTCCATGGGAACGGGGTTTTATGGGGTAAAAATTGTTTTTTCTCGTTTTTGACCCCAAAAACATAAAATTTCCTAAAATTTCTCTAGACTATTTTGAAGATCTTAAAAAAAACAAATAATTTAGTCTATTGAAGTGTTTTTGTATGGTTATTGGTTATGTAGAAAATTGTAAATTAAAAAATGTCCATGTTATTCTTATGGAGAATAAGTAAACTGTTTTAGTTTGCTTGTTTATGGAATCATTTGGATCAAACTTGGCAAATCTATTTATTTTATACTAAGCTATTATTATTTTACTAAAAAACACACTTTATTACCCTCCCTGTAGGCAGCAAACTTAGGTACTCGTTAAACCTAATGTTATTTGAATAGATTTAATTGAAAATCAAATCAGGCAAATGGAAATTTGCTTAGTCTGCAGGTTTGCTGCGGCGGGGGTATTTATAGTCATGTTTAAATAACAGATACCAGTATCTGTACTGTATGTAGCCTACCTCTCTTTAATGGAACCATTGACAGCATGAGGTTGGGGTGACTTGTCCCCATCACTAGAGGAGCCATCATCATCTGCAGCAGTCTTGGCTGTGGCAGTCTTGGTGGTAGCAGCTGCTGAGATAACACCAGACGATGGTACTGTGGACACACCCTGCGCTGCGGCCAACTTGGCAGCTATAACACGTTGTATTAGTTTATGGGTCCTAAAATCAGCTATTTCGACAATTCCCTTTACATTCATGCATGAAATACTAATTTATTCCTACTTATAAATAATTACTGCATCATTTTATGATTTTAGAAATGTTTGGTTGGTTTTCTTATGTCCAAAAAGTAGGCCTACTGTATTTTATTACAATTATTTATTACAAAAATTTCTTTTTAGCGAATTTCTCATATAGGAAATAAGCTATTACCGTAGTACTGATAGTAAGACCTGCACCCGGGACCGATTTACTTTTTCGTTTTGAGGTCCCTAGAGGCCAAAAACACCATCCGTTCAAATTCATATATATATATTTATATATTTATATATATATGTGTCCGTTAGCATGATAACTCGAGAAAAAATGATCCGATTTTGATGAAATTCGGTACAAACATGTAAACCTACATTTATTCGAAAGAGTTCGCGAACCAACATGATCGGACTATGGGAATGGGGGGTTTTATAGGGTAAAAATAGGTTTTTCCCATTTTTGACCCTAAAAACACAAAATTTAACAATTTCTTTCTAAACCATTTTGTAGAGCTTAAAAAGATAAACAATTTAGTATGTTGAAGCGTTATTATGCGCCTATTAGTTACGGAGAAAATTCCAAAAAATTTTAAATTTAAAATTCCTATGTTACTCTTATGGAGAATAAGTCAACTGTTGTAGTTTGCTTGTTTATGAAAATATTTTGGAAAATACATTCATTTCTTACTAAACTATTAAAATTTTACAAAAAAAATCACTTTTTACCCTCCCTGTTACAGCAAACCTAAGTAGGCCTACTCGTTAAACTTTTGTGTAAATCCAATCAGGCAAATGGAAATTCGCTAAGTCTGCAGGTTTGCTGCGGTGGGGGTATTTTTTCCCATATGGGGAATAAGCTATTACTGTAGTACTCATGGTAAGACCTGGACCCGGGACCGATTTACTTTTTTGTTTTGTGGTCCCTAGAGGCCAAAAACACCATCCGTTCTAATTCATCTATAAATATATTAGTGATGGGCGGATCCAAGAAAATGTCTGGTACCGAATCCAGATTCAGATCTTAAAAAATTCGGAACTGGATCTTCGGATCCGGATCCAGATACACAATATCATAAGGGTGGGTTAAAAAAACTTTTATTAACGGAATGTCAATTTAAATCATACTGTTTAAAATTAAATTGGTCATGTTTAAAGGTTAATATATCTTATATATAGAATAACCTCCAGTTTAGCCCAAAATTCCTCATATTTGGGGGAAACATTGTGATAAGTTGCAACCTCAGGGTTTAGGGTTAGTGTTTGGAACTCTCTTTAATTACCAATTTCCTTGCTAATCTTTTAATTTGAAACTTTTTTTTATGATAATAAAGTTAGCCTTTGATTTTTTTTAACTAAATAATTTTATATCGAATTTGGATAAGATTGTTTTAAAACAAAAGTCTTTACTTGAATCAAGAATATAAATTTTAACAGCTATGAGGCTACTCGATCCACCTCAGAAATAGGCTAATGTTCTCAAATTGTCCAACACCTACATAGGATAGTCTGTAATAATAAGATGGAGATTACCAAGTTTCTTCTTGGAAGGTATGGGGGTTTAGTGAGTGGGAGAAAATTTCGCGCCGTTCCGGCCAAACCTCGCATGCGGGGTTGGTTCGGCAGATTGGCCACAACCTAAACCCCAACTCTCACTTGTTAGCTGCGGAGAGCTACCTTCTGCCACTGGGTGTTGGTCCACCTACAGAACCAAGTGAGGGGGGCCCTAGACTAAGGTGTAATGCGATCCGTGCCAAGAGTCTTGTGGCACTGGGGGCCTAATATTCAGTGTCTTAACGGAGCCTTCTGGGAACCAGGGGTAACCCAGTCGTACGCACCCCTTACCTCTCTAATCGGGTCACTGGGGAGGTGGACTTAAATACCCGGTATTCGTGAGAACAATGTAGACAATCTGACCCAAATGGAGGAGGAAGGTCTACTGAAATCTGACGATGACGACAAGCTCGCAGAAACCGGAAAGGAACGATAAACGACTTTCCAGGGGCGAGTTGCAAAGGAGGATAGCGGATGCTTAAGCCAAAGGCAAAAAGGTGCTATCCAGAAGTGAGAGGAGGCTGGTGTGGGCTGCCAAGCACCCTAACTCTGCTGCCTGCAAAGCCAGTTCCTCCGGGAACTAGGATGCTGGGAAAAAGCAGAGCAAGGGTGGTACCCCCAAAGCTGACTCTAATGAAGCCTCCCGGAAGAAAGGTGGAGGCTGTGCTGACGCAGCCACAAAGGATTGGCTGGTCAAGCAAGTTCAGGAGCTGAGTCCTTTCAGGAAAATCTCGCTTCGGCTTGCCCCAGCCAGAGACCTTGTGAAAGCTGTGAAGGTATATTTATGTGCCCAGCCCTACAAGGTCTGCGTATGAGATCCCTTGTACGAAAAACGACTTTCCAGGGGTGAGTTGCAAAGACGGAGGATAGCGGATGCTTTAGCCAAAGGCGAAAAGGTGCTATCCAGAAGTGAGAGGAGGCTGGTGTGGGCTGCCAAGCACCCTAACTCTGCTGCCTGCAAAGCCAGTTCCTCCGGGAACTAGGATGCTGGGAAAAAGCAGGGCAAGGGTGGTACCCCCAAAGCTGACTCTAATGAAGCCTCCAGGAAGAAAGGTGGAGGTTGTGCTGACGCAGCCACAAAGGATTGGCTGGTCAAGCAAGTTCAGGAGCTGAGTCCTTTCGGGGAAATCTCGCTACGGCTTGCTCCAGCCAGAGACCTTGTGAAAGCTGTGAAGGTATATTTATGTGCCCAGCCCTACAAGGTCTGCGTATGAGATCCCTTGGCCTATTGATGGGAGATCAAAGGGAAAAACAGGTCACCATAGTCAAAAGGCTCTCACGGTTCACCAAAGACCTGGGATTTGACGGAGAATGAGGATCTGTGAACGAGGGTGCACAATAAGCTGTTCTAGCTGCGATGCAATCCCATGGTAACTTGTAAGCCTGGCCCTCTATTAAAAAAAAAAAAAAAAAAAAAAAAAAGTTTCTTCCAAGTTTCCACATTTCTTCTTGTTTAAACTATTTGAAATAATTAGACTATTGGTTTAGCTTTTCACTTTTTACTAGAAAATATTATAATATAAAAATCATACAAACTAGTTTTTAAACTTTCACCAGGCTAGTTCATGGTAGAAGAAGCAGGAAATCCAGTTGTTACCTAACACATGTTTTTCAGCAACAATGTATTCAGGTCTTCTATATCTTGAAGTTCACTGTTCACTTTTTAGTCACTCAGGCCAATTAATAGTATATGAAATTTAATTTGAGTAAATTACTTTTTTAAATTTGGTTTAGATATATATAATTATTTTTACTTTAGCTTGTGTTTGAAATAGATTTTAAACATAGTATATTTTAAATAGGCTTTTAGGCTTAATTGACTGGTAATAGGCTATTTATATATTATTTAAACATACAAAAATTTATGAACTGTTGCAAAGTTTGCACGACCACCAAAATTGTATTCCTGTATGTATATTTTACTATCCTTCGATATTGAGTATGCTATATCGTGGTTTTTGCATGTAGCATCCAATGTTTTTATGTCTGGATCACCTCTTGCTAATCTCTTCCTTAAATTTGTTCCAGGTCCACAGTACTGATAGCCGGGTATGTGAAGTTCTACAGGTAAAATACCCTGCGTCTGTGTACAAGAAGACTATATGTGTCCTAACAGTGTTCTAATTTATAAAATATTAGATGGGTATCTTGACTTTTTATTCACCCTGTATGGATTTTGATGAAATTTGGTAAAAACGTGTAAACTTACATTTATTTGAACGAGTTTGCGAACCAGCATGATCGAACTATAGGAACGGGGGTTTTATGGGGTAAAAATAGGGGTTTCCCATTTTTGACCCTAAAAATTCAAAATTTTACAATTTCTTTCCTAACCATTTTGTAGAGCTTAAAAAACAAATAATTTTCCCTACAGTCACCCGACAAAGATGGCTTCCTTGTTCTGTTTATAGTACAGATATTTTTACTTTGTCGTACGGTTTATACTTTGGCGCACATCAGGATTCCAACGAAACAACCCAAAAAAGCATGGTTCTATTATGCACGTAATCCGTGTACGCTTGGAAATAGGTTGGCAACACTTAAAGATAATAATACTAAGAGCAGCTGATTGACTATTAGCCTAGAACTACGATTAGACCTGTCATTTCGTGTTTATAGTTAAATGTTCTCTTTTCGGTGTTTCTGAACTTTCTGGACTTTTTTTAACGTTTTTAAAACATTCCTATGATCTTAATAAACAAGAAAGTACCTTCAACCCTAGAGCTGGCACTAGTGTAACGCTGTACTGGCATAGGGATATTATTGATTATGTAATATAATTTTTAAACCATCAAAAAATTTGAAATAGCAACATAACTATGGATTGTTATATATCATTTTGTTCAGAATAACACAAAGAACAATAATATAGGTGGTTTACATGGTTACCACAAACAAAATTTTTTTAGTTTTTCCAAATTGTAGGCATTATTAATTTTTTTATAAAATATTTTTATATTCCGTCGTATAGCTAAGTGCATGTAAGACTTATCATCATAAGGTAAATTGTAAAGTTGTGGTAAATTTTGTGCTGATTCCAAAAATATATAGTTTATATAGCTTATTTTGTGTATTTTGTTTGATAGCCCTATTACTATGTCGATCGTACCCCCAGCGCTAGTACCAAATAATCATCCAACCCAGGTCATGTACAAAACCGTACACCCTATATAATATATAATTCCAGGGTACTCTGGTTTGTATTATTTAACTTATTGATTACAACAGTAGCCCTAAAAAGTGATCAAAACTAAAAAAAAAAAATTAAATATAGGCCTACTGTAACACCTGCATTGGAGCCGTATATCCGGCGTTGCCATTTCGGCCACGGCCGTTTTGCGCCGTATATCCGGCGTTTGCCAGCACTAGGGTTAGAGCATTTTTTTGGGCACGGAAACCACTGCAAATTACAAAAATATACGGAACTATTTTTAAGTCGCGGAGTGATACGGACCGGGGACTACTTTCTCTAGGGCACCTATTTGTGTTGCTAGCTGAACCTAAAAACGTGCTGTATAGTGTTAGAAAGACTAATTATTTATATGCTTTATAGTGACTGTAGGAAAAATATAATGTGTAACACGAGTGCAAAAGGCCTTTGCTGCACTCGATATCATTCCGCACGAGCCGCAGGCGAGTAAACGTTGCTCTTGTGTGCAGCAAAGTGCCACTTTGCTCACAAGCTACACAAATAACCATAGTATATTGAAGCGTTATTATAGTCTATATTTAATAGCCTAATGGTTACGGAGAAAATTTAAAAAAGAATTGTAAATTTAAAATTCCCACGTTATTCTTATGGAGAATAAGTCAACGGTTGTAGTTTGCTTGTTTATCAACATATTTTGATCAAATTCGGAAAATAAATTAATTTCTTAATAAACTATTAATATTTTAAAACAAAAAAACAATTTTTTACCCTCCCTGTTGCAGCAAACCTAAGTACTCGTTAAACTTATTCTATTTAAATAGGTAATAAATGTGATATTTTTAACCCGTTGAGTGCCAACGTCCGGGGAACCGGACGTTTTTAAAATGATCCAAAAGTGCCGACGTCCGGCCGACCGGACGTTTTTAGAACGAGCCAAAAGTTGTCATAACAACCCAATGGATACTCGGATTCTTTTAACCCATATATTAACATTGAGTCGAAAGTTACTAGATACGATGCGATACATCGATTTTCGTTGGTCGAAATATCGAAAATTCGATTTTTACGAAATTTTAACCTAAAAATCGCCATATCGCGCTTGGCATTTTTAGCGCGACCTTCGGGAAAAATCATCGGCATTTTTTGAGCGTTACTTTTATTTCTCGCCTGGCACTCTAAGGGTTAAGGGGACATTTTAGTGTAAATCCAATCAGGTAAATGGAAATTCACTGAGTCTGCAGGTTTGCTACGGCGGGGGTATTTGTTTTTTGTTAGTGTGTTTAACACCAGTGAAATGTTACATTTTTTTAAAGAGAACAGTTCACACCCTGGTCTTGTTATCATCTATCAAGGATCTTTTGTTAGATTGTTATTTAAATTGATAACCCATTGAATATCAAAAAAGACTATTTATATGAAATGAGTTACATCATTCATGGCGTTGACAATGTACCATCAGGATTCGATTATTTTATGTTTTTATCATGTTAATGTGTCCATGTTTGGTTATTATAAAATGGTTCGTTTTGATGGATCCATTCATTTGTAGGATTTACAACATTAATTATGGTTTTTTCCAATACTTGAAGATTGATACATAAAATCTGAAGCTTAAGTGGTTTACTATTAACCTTGGATCAACACACAGCAAAGAACATAAACCAGTAAATTCGGTTTGGACCTATATATTTAAGAAAAATCTTACTTTCTAAATCCTTGAGTGCTTGAGGTTTTTGCCAAACACTTTCTCCCAGTTTAGCGTTGTAGTAGTAAAACTTGCCATCTGGAGCCCGATGTTCTGTCCACTCGGCTGCTTTAGCTACTATTTCTGGATCAATCTGTTGGTACAAACAAACTCGTAGACCAAAGTGAAGTGATGATTTTATCAACTTTACAACAAAACGACATTCAATATAAATTGTATGCCCAAAGGATAGCTTAGTTAAAGAGCTTAGTTACACAGCTTAGTTAAAGAGAAAGTTTTAAATTGTTAACAACACAAAGATTAAGATTCACATTTTTACCCAACCTTTTATATTTTTTCTATACAGGAGACTTTTTAGAAAGAATAATAAGTACTGTAGTGGAACTTATGAGGGGTGTTTTTTAAGTGAGGATCGTTTTTGCGTATCCAGTAGAACCTCTTTAATTCGAACCCCTGTAATCCGAACGTCCACTAATCCGAACCCCTCATTGCTGTACTTAATACACAGTACAGTAGTTCTTCATTGTATACTGTATTTATTGATATACGCACTATAGTTATTTGTAAGTTGTAATGTCTGGTACTGTTTATTCCCTATATTTACTACTGTATTAAATAAACACTGTATTTTAATTTATAAAGCATTTTTCACTTTTCCCTAGCTTTGTTATGTAAAAACAACAATATGTACTGTAATCCGAACTATTCAATAATCCGAACTACCCCCGGTCCCAATTAGTTCGGATTAAAGAGGTTCTACTGTAGCTACGTAGTAAAGCTTACGTGTAAGCTGAAACGAAAAAAAAACACCATTTGCAGCTTTGTAGCTGACATGTATGTTTTGGTGTGTCTTAAGTTTTAAATTATTGAATCTTTTGCAGTATGGGAAATAAGGTAAATTTTATACGGTTTATTGACCACAAGAAACATATCCGATGCCGACATTCAATGCCGGAAGACCATAAAGGAAAAGGTTTTTCACCTCCATTTTCGCACTCCCTAGCCCATTTCTGCACCCTCTCAGTTGTCTCCAGGAGTAGACTGAGGATCAACCATTGTAACCCTCTATCATTGCATAATGGCCATAACCTTCAGTCATCTGGCAATTATTAAAAAATATATCAACGATCTTATCTAGCATGCAGCGGTAGTTTCAATAATTTAAAAAGTTGTGATGAGTCGATTCTTAAAAAAAAAAAAAAAACAGAAAAAAAACAGAAAAAACAGTAAAAAAAACAGAAACGAGAATTGATGGTGAAATGTCAGTACAAACTATTTGTATTTACTCATTACATTTATAGATTCAAATTGTTAACCATGATTATTATTTTTCACTTGTGGCTATCTGAAAGGGCATATTTATCATGAAATAATATCAATAGTAGGCTATAGGATGATTATTTCAGTGTTAGTTGGTTAAGTTGTCTTCACTATCGTTTCAGAAAACATACTACTATAACCCAGAATGCCAACCGCATAGTAAAAAGCATTAAGTGTTTTGAGAGAGCTTTGCCTGTCAATTTGTAGGCAGCGCCACCAGTGTTGCTATGCTGAGTGCATGGCAATGCTGGTGGCGCCGCCTACAAATTGACAGGCAAAGCTCTCTCAAAACACTTAATGCTTTTTTACCATGCGGTTGGCATTCTGGGTTATAGTAGTATGTTTTCTGTGCTATTGTCAGCTGATAGAGTGCTGCAAACATCGACTGCAATTGATAAACCATCTCCAGAAGACAGAAGGCAAGCTAAATAAATAAAGACTACATCAAATAAATGGTCTATTTGGGCTCAACAAAAATACTATACTACCTTAAAACCATCCTCTCCTTACCTGAATTTGGTTATTAATAACATAAATATAATAATATTATTAGTTATCTATACAAGAGCTGGCCCGTGGTGGAAAACTCAACCAAAAGTATGTATTATGCAAACTTCTCTGTTTTCACCCCACGCTGTAAATAAAACATGTGAATGGAATTTCTTCAATTTGTTTTGACTTTTTAGCGAATTTCCCATATAGGGAATAAGCTATTACCGTAGTACTCATGGTAAGAACTGGACCCGGGACCGATTAACTTTTTTGTTTTAGGTCCCTAGAGGCCAAAAACACCATCCGTTCAAATTCATATATATATATATTTTTATTTTATTTTATTATTATATACACCAATGAGGACTACTTTAAATGTTACTAAGTAAATCACACTCCGATGGTCCGACTCCTCAGTTGGTCCGACCGTGCTGCCAACACAACAGGCTTCCACTAACATAACCTCACTGTCCAAGAAAAATACCTAGAAAACTTTATAAATTGTGTTTTTTTTAGTCTGATGTATTGAAAAATTCGTTGTTTATTCAACCATTTCTCCATTATTAATATTCAGTAGGCTCCCACATTATTGTTTTTGAAAAATCACAGTTCATTTGACAAAAATAAAATGGAAGCAAAACAAAGGAATGTCGATCAAAGCTTCAAGGTCAAGCTATCCGTTTGCACTTACAATCGTCTGCTCCTTAGGCCTATGCATGAAACATCTGTCTGCTGTGCGCTTGCTATGTCACAACATTTATTGATTTATTTGGTAATCATGACAACTTTAGTAGCCTGTGTTTTCATTTCAATGTCTCCAGAGGCCAAAAACATCGTTTGTTCACATTTTTATAGTATATATATATACACATCCGTGAACTTGAGTAATTTTTGTCAGATTTCGATGACATTTTGTTTAAATGTGTAAAGCGGGATAAACTTGAATGAGTTCGCGAACCAGCATGATCGGACCATGGGAACGGGGTTTTATGGGGTAAAAAATGGGTTTTCTCAATTTGACCCTCAAAACACAAAATTTCCCAATTTTTGTATAGAAATTTTTAAAGAGCTTTAAATAACAAATAATTTAGTATATCAATTGTTAATGGAGAAAATTAAAAAAATTGTGAATCAAAAATTCCAATGTTATGGAGAGTATTGTAAAACTGGCGGAATAACCAAACTTCGCTACGGAAACTTTCAAATTGGTTGAAATTTTCAATAAATTGCTGATATATTTTTCACCATCCTTTGAATCTTTGGTGAATGTCTTTCAGGAAGAGTTTGTTCATACTTGTTGCTTGCGTTCTTCACCTGCTTTTTCCTTTGTTAGTCTGTGCACCTGCTGCGGCATTTACGTCTTCGTGTACTTTGTTGAGATTCCGGAATCGGCTGACGATTGGGAGAAACGAGCTCTTTTTGTGGCTCTAAAGCGTCGAAGTGCCCACAAGACAGGGATTGTGTCAAATTGAGTCTTTTCACAGGATTACGTTCATCACCAAACTTGACGTATAATTCAAACTATTCCGATAAACCTCGAAAACAAATTTAAATGGTTGTGAAGCTACAACCTACCAAAGGTAAACGGCTTAGACATTTAATAGAAGTGTTGACTGGAATTAAGGTAATTATTCCCGTCACTGTTGATTAGTGTGTGTATGTGTGTAAGGTGATGATAAATGAGAGTGAAGCAATCTCCTCTGATCACTAAAAGTATTAACTTAAAATATTAACTGCCTACTTTCGTTTCCCAGACATTATTTTTTGGGAAATAAACCATAGAAATACATTTTATAAACATTTTAGAAAAGAGATAGTCAATAAGTTAATGAATTACGCACTTAAATATAAAATTCCTTATTCACACACTATCAAAAATTATTTATTAAACAAACTTCCACTTTTAAATATAAATACAGCTAATAATGCTAAAAATTTAGACAGTTAATAGTGATGGGCCCCAGTTGGTACATTTTGTAAACTTTTAATGCAATGCTACATATTAATCATCACAGAATCAAATTGTTTAGTTGAAAGATCTTTTAAGTTTCTTTATTCCATTTAAATATGAGTACTCATAAGGTTAACATGGGTAACTCCAGAGCCACTGGGGCGGAGCCCTTTTGACGGATCTGCATCAAACTGCATACAAACCATCCTTGAATAATGCCTTAAAGTTTCATTACAATCTGTCGAGCGGTTTCGGAGTGTATAACGTTCAAATCTATATATATAAAATCCAATGTATGTTTGATTTCTAGACACAGAGCAAAGTGGGGGAACTTGTCAACTACAGAGCTACAAATCACATTTTTCTGTTCACGAATGATGCTAGTAAGGTGCGAGGAACCTCTTGCGGCGTACATGCAAACTAAGAAGCTACACACACATACACACACGGCACGAGGTCCTTACTTAAAAAACGGCCCTGGTAGAATACATTAAACAAGCATCATCAGACCTTTGTTTTGGAAAATATGATAAACTTACATTGGCTTATTTAAATCAATCAATTACGCTGACAGTTTTCCACGGTACAGTACAGTAAAACCTACACTAAATGAAATAAAGGTGGCAAAGCCGTTTCGGAATTCCTATTTTTTTCGGTTAGTCAATGGTAGGAATTTAAAGGCTCTATGTCTAATCAGAACTAGGTCAGTAGTTTATTTAATATTTTAATTGATGTCTTCCTAAAACCTACAACTGTACACACAAAATCTATTCATTAAAATAATCGACAATTGTTTTCTGAACTTTTCTCTTTATCTTAGTAGAAGATTCATGTCATTGTCTGCTCTGTTACATTCTGTTGGCTAGACCAGACCAACTACTTGCACAATTACAGACGACTCCCAATGCCTAGCTCATTTTGCAATTGAACTGAAATTATTATGATTTTTTTCGGTTAACCCGGGTTTTGGTAACAGGTTGCAGTTAAAACTTACTATAATCCTTTCCACTTGTAAGTTTTTGTACTGCGAATATGCAGGTATCAATATATGATAATAATAAAGCATTTAGTTACCTGAGGGGAAGCTTCGTCAACCTGCCCCGGAGCTGAGACAGCTGCCACAGGGGCAGGGACCATGGACTGAGGGGCCATCACTGGCTGCTGGGCTCCAGGCATCATGCCTTGGGGAGGCATCCCCCACGGACCTTGAGGAAACCCTCCAAAACCACCTGGTGGAAACCCTGGCGGAGGCATACCAAATGGCGGCCCACCTCCGAATGGACCAGGAGGACCTCCGTACATACCAGGAGGGGGACCTCCCATCATACCAGGTGGAGGCTGCATTGTGTTAGGCATACCTAAAAATGGCACAATTCTCGGTATCAGAGTACATACAATCACTTGTCAGGTCTAATGACAATTTGTTACTTCTAGCTACATTTTATTAGGTTAGGGATGTACAAGTTCATTGTTAATTTGAGTATGTTTTGAGTCCATTAAACAATTTTACATGAAACTACTTATCAATGTAGGTCTCACAAAAGCTATTTTGTGCTATTACCAACACCAATGAAAACTAATCAATTTTAATTGGTAATAGAGTTGTTACAGTCCGTCAGTTCAGTTTAACACGTTCGCTACTGCAATAGTACGAAATTTTCCATTCACATGGACCAGCGACGCACATATGCGTCGGCCGGTTTCCACCCATAGACTCGACGGCTAGTCACATTAAAATAGACTGCCGACGCATATGTGCGTCGGGGTTCTAATGTTTTTAAAATGCTTATATCTTTGTAGTGGTCTATTTGAAGGCACTGAATTCCCTGCAGTGGTCTACAGAGATGTCTGACGCACAACTGCGTCGCTTGGTCTATGGATATGATGATTGGTGACGTCATATAATAGTTGGAAAAACTGGTCTTTACTTTTCTGCATCACTGTATGTATGTATGCAGTATGTATGCTGCATTATCCTATGTAGCTTTTATATTTGTTCAGTTATAAACTGTTCTTGAATAATCTGTTTATTTCTTTACTTACTTTCACCTTAAAACACAAAAAAATAAACTGTCGCATATATGCGACGTTTAGTCTATTTCAAGAAAACTATGATAATTTTCACTATTGTTTTCGCTGTAGACCGGGTGTCGCAAATATGCGACATTACAAAAGGTTATAAAAAATACAAATAAACAAGAATAATTTATTTACAAACACGATTGTAGCGTATTACAATGTAAATGAACACTGTTTTACAGGTTTTCGCCCGTGGTCTGTGTGTACTGTTATCCAAGTGACAGTCGGTCTGTGTAAGATTCAAATGTATACCTCGGTCTGTGGCTATGACCGCGGCGTCGCATATATGCGACGCTCAGTAGCGAACGTGTTAATTGTATATATGTAAATAGTGTAGCAATCTAATGACGCAATCTATCCAACATTTGTTGGTCAACGATGAAGAGATCAAGTATCAAGTATCAAGTAAGTAAGTACAATATGAAAACAAAGAGGTAGGGCCCTACACTAATAGTAAAAAGCTCAACTTATAAAAATTAAATGTAGCAAGTGTATTAGCAGATATGAAAGCCATATCAATTTTCGACTCTTACTAACAAAAATTTTGAAAAATAGAAGTGGTTAGCCAAAGGAATATTTTAATTGGAATAAGAGTAAATCTAAATATATAAAATGCAAAGCCCTCACTGACTCACTCATAACTAATTCTCCCACATCCCTTTTTCCTAGGAGGCTGAAATTCGGTACACGTATTCTTTGGGCATTAAATAGGAAAACTAAGTAGTTCTGCGGGTACCCGACCCGGACTCGAAAATCGGGTAATTTTGCACTACCCGAAGGGTCGGGCGGGTGGAAGAAATACCCTTTTTTATATCAAGCGGGTAATCCGGTAACCTATTATTAAAAATTTTAATGTTTTAATGTGTAATTATACAGTTTTCAGCTTTATATGAAGACATTTTAATAATAAATTAATAAAACCTAAATTGTGTGCTCATAATTTTCCTAACCCCATATTTCAACACCATCCAATGACTGCCAACTAGGCCTACTGACTAAATCAGTCAAATGAATATTCTTCTGATTCTTATTATTGGCTACATCAATATCGTCGTCGTCTGCTTGTTTGCACATCATCTGCATTACACGTACTATAGCATAATTAATTAATTATCGTAGTATAAAACTTAACTGGACAGTCACTGCCAAGAATGTTGGTATGATACAAGAATATCTTTTTAGCGAATTTCCCCTATAGGGAATAAGCTATTAGCCTACCGTAGTACCACAGCCACCTCTAATACAAGGCCGCGGCGAGCGAAAAGTGGCAACGTTGCATCCGTGTCTTGATGCGCGGTCGTCTTACCATTACAGTGAATGGAAGAGTCGCGTACTCGACGTGCATAATCGCGTTTCTACTACCCTTAATCATTAGTAATGACATTGAACTTGTTACTACAGCATGCCAGATAGATGTGATATGGCTGGATGTAAGAATAATTATGAAAGCTCAATTAAAATTGAATAATACATACAGTGTTATGTACATGATCCGCCGCGTAAGCAATAATAGCTTCCTGCTATTATTCGGTCAAATTAGACATCTTAAAACAATCCTCGTTTTTGTGTGAAACATTTTCACGAATATGAACTTAGATTTGTAAAAAAATGTAAGAATAAGACATTGATTCGTGTAAATATAGACGCGAGAAGCGAGTTTTAGGTATGAGAAAGCCGTACAATTTCCTTATTTATTTTTATCTATTGATAAAAGCTGTTGTTAAGTGATTAAAATAACTTAAATATCTAGCACTTCGAAGAAATAAACCGGTGTTACTGTTAAGTGGGCCTACTAGTAAAAAATATGTACTACACCATCTAACAATTAAGCATCATATTCTCCGACTCCAGTCTGAATGTTGATGTGATAAAACAATTCTATTAATATTGTGGAAAGCCATATGGAGGCCTAGCTTCTGAAATAGTTTACAAAATGAAACAAATTTTGCTTAGTAATTATTCAAAGAAAATAAATTGTTTATAGTCAGTATGCCTTCAAAATGAAAACTTCAAATTTTGTTGTTGCTAACTAATGGTTTCCTCAGGTAGACTAAAACATAATATACCTATTGAAAATTGAAAATTAATTTTATTTGAACAAAATTGCTAGATCTTAGTCTCTACAAATATTGAAGTGGCAATAAGTTAGTCAGTCCTACTGTATTACCATTCTTGGTATAGTAGCTATATTTTGTAAAATTTAAGCCCAGTCTGTCTAAGGGCCGGTTGCTGAGCTCGGGATTTAGCTAAGTTCTAGACTTAAACCGGCTTTAGACTCTGGAGTCTAAGAAATGGCTTGCTGAGATAGGGCGTTAACGAAGTCCAGAACTTATTAGACTCCGGAGTTTATTTGGCTGGTTAGACTCTGGAGTTTAAAAATTGACTTGCTGAGACAAGGACCTATAAGTCCAGAACTTAACTTAGATTCTCGTCTCTTGCTGAGACAAGGATCTAGTAAAATCCGTTAAGTCCAGAACTTAAAACACTACGATTTTAGATCCTCGGCAAGGGCAGGATTTAAATTAGATTCTAGACTTAACAGAGTATATTAACCTTGTTTGCGCGTTATATCATCATCATATTAGGACGTATATATTAGGTATCCATATTATGTATCATCCTAGAAACTGGAATTGATAATTTAAGACATCCTATTAGCGAATTTCCCATATAGGGAATAAGCTATTACCGTAGTACTCATGGTAAGACCTGGACGCGGGACCGATTTTTTTTTCGTTTTGAGGTCCCTAGAGGCCAAAAACACCATCCGTTCAAATTCATATATATATATATATTTATATATTTATATATATATATATATATATATATGTGTCCGTCAGCACGATAACTCGAGCAAAAATGATCCGATTTTGATGAAATTTGGTACAAACATGTAAAAGTACGTTTATTTGAACGAGTTCGCGATCCAGCATGATCGGACCATGGGAACGGGGGTTTACGGGGGGTTTTATGGGGTAAAAATAGGTTTTTCCCATTTTTGACCCAAAAAACATAAAATTTAGCAATTTCTTTCCAAACCATTTTGTAGAGCTTAAAAAAACAAATAATTTAGTATATTGAAGCGTTATTATGCGCCTAATGGCTACGGAGAAAATTCCAAAAATTTGTAAATTTAAAATTCCCATGTCATTCTTATGGAGAATAAGTAAACTGTTGTAGTTTGCTTGTTTGTGAACATATTTTGATCAAATTTGGAAAATGTTTTTATTTCTTACTAACTATTCACATTTTAAAAAAAAACTGTTTTACCCTCCCTGATGCAGCAAACCTAAGTACTTGTTAAACTAATTCTATTTAAATCAAGAATAAATGTTATATTTTTAAGTAGACATTTCAGTGTAAATCCAATCAGTCAAATGGAAATTCGCTTAGTCTGCAGGTTTGCTGCGGCGGGGGTATTTTTTTTAATTGACAAACATCCGCTAACAAAAAGGAATATTTGTTTGCCCGTGATTTTTTTACTACGAAACCGATGTGTTTAATTTACAAAAATGACAATGTTTCAATTTTTACATATTGCAATAAAACATTGTTTTAGAAAAATCCTTGTAGTAAATTTTAGTAAATGTAATTCCTGCTCTATCTTATAAGTAGTTTGAGACACCCAACATGCAGAGTCGAATGGGTTAGAGTTATGACTTCCATTCTTATTGAATATCATACTCGATTGTGAACTAATGGTAGTACTCACTCATACTTAAATGCGACATGCACTTATGTACTATATTAAACTTTTACTACGACTGTACTATATAGTATTTTATCATGGGCTTATTAAAACATAACATATTATACTTTTAACTCAGTATATTCGACCAGTCCCATTTGTAACCATATTTATAATTTACAAAAATCTACTTGGAAAAAGAGTATGTAATACAAATAGTAATTAAAATTAGGGATGGACGAGATTGGATTTTTAGTTCGAGACGAGACGAGACGAGATTTTTTATTTCTCATAAAATTTCGAGACGAGATCGAGACGGGATTTCCCTTCTCATACACAACGGGAAATGCACGTTCAAAATTTTTACCTGATTTTGTAACATTGTTAGATGACTGTTTAAATACAAAAATAATGATAATAGGCAAGAATATTTACAATCTTTTATTAAAAAACATCAGCATAACATTTTTTTTATTAATCACGCTTAACTTATTAAAAATGCCTATGATTAGGAAACATAGTGATATCAGTTAGGATAGAGTTCAACTTATCCTAAAATAAAATAAATCATAAAATAAAAGCAATATTAGT